TTCTTTATTATTATGTTTGCTGCTATTGTTTTGTATGAGGCACCTGATGCCTGCTGTCAGCAGCAGCAGCTGCTGCTGCTGTTGCTGCTGCTGCTGCTGCAGCAACAGCAACTGTAATAGTAGTATGTACTAGCGCAAGCAATAGCTAAAGCAGCAGCAGCAGCAGCAGCAACAGCAACAGCAGCAGCAGCAGCAGCAGCAGCAGCAGCAGGAAGGCAATCTGCTTCGTGTCTGTAGCCTCTTGTTTGTACTTGTGTATAACTGCGGCTGAGCTACAACTGCAGCAGCAGCAAAAAGCAGCAGCAGCAGCAGCAGCAGCAGCAGCAAACTGCAGCAGCAACGGGTTTCTTCGCGTCGCTGCTGCTGAAGCACAGCCTCTCACTGCAGCAGACTCTCTCTTTGCTGCTGTACCGTCCCCCTCTTGTTTCCCTTTGCTGCTGCTGCTGTTGCTGCTGCTGCTGCTGCTGCTCTGCTGCTGCTGCTGCTGCTGGGGCTGGCGCTGCAGCTCCTCAGGGTTTTATATTATCTATAGACTGAATTAATAAAAAATAAAATAAAATAAAATAACACAAAAATTATATTTTTAAAATAATAAATAAATGTATAGACAATAAGAGAACAACGAAAACCCCTGCAGCAGCAGCAGCAGCAGCGGCAGCAGCAGGTTTTGTTTTTATTTTCCTTTCCTTTGAGTGTCTTTGACTAAAATTTTCGGTTTTAGCTTCAACAGCAATATAGCTTGGGGTGTACATACAGCTGAATGCCAGCAGCAGCAGCAGCAGCAGCAGCAGGAGCAGCAGCAGGAGCAGCAGCAGGAGCGGTGTCGGCGGAAGGTCTTCGGCTCTGCGCATGCGGCAGGAGCAGCAGCAGCAGCAGCAGCAGCAATAGCAGCAGCAACAGCAGCAGCAGTTTTAGATTGCGGTGTACATACACCTCAGCTGCATCTTCCTTCTTTCTGCTGCAGCAGCAGCACAATATCCGTGGCTGCAGCAGCAGCAGCAGCAGCAGCAGCAGCTCTTCGAGCGGTTGTTATCCCAACCGCAGCAGCAGCAGCAGCAGCGAGCAGCAGCAGCAGCAGCAGCTGCAGCAGCAACAACACCAACTGCTGAACCGCTCCTGCAGCAGCGGGGCCGTCGCCTTGAGCTGCAGCCACCCGTAGCAGCAGCAGCAGCAGCAGCAGCAGCAGGAACAGCAGCAGCAGCAGCAGCAACAGGAGAATGGAAGGAAAGCCTCTGGTGCTGCGGCTTCGTGCTGCTGCGGGCCACAGCAGGGTCACCTGCAGCAGCAGCAGCAGCAGCAACGAGCTGTATACGCAGGTAGCAGCACAGCTGAAGGTACCCCAGGAAGAACTGCAGCTATACACAGACGCAGACAAGCAACAGGTGCTGCTGCTGCTGCTGCTGCTGTTGCTGCTGTTGCTGCTGTTGCTGCTGTTGCTGCTGTTGCTGCTGTTGCTGCTGTTGCGGTTCGTAATGCTGCTGCTGCTGCTGTTGCTTCGCGTGCTGCTGCAGCTGCCGCTCGTCTGAGTCTCCTGCTGCTGCTGCTGCTGTCGTTGCTGCAGCTGCTGCTGCTGCTGCTGCGTTTTCTATTTTCGGTTCTGCGCTGGTGCTGTTGCTGCTGTTGCTTCTGCTGTTGCTGTTGCTGCTGCTGCAGCAGCTGCTGCAGCGTGCTATATGCTGCGTTCTTATCCTTCGTTTGTATTACTTTTTGTGCTGCTGCTGTTGCTGTTGCTGCTGCTGCTGCTGCTGCTGTTGCTGTTGCTGCTGCTGTTGCTGCTGCTGTTGCTGCTGCTGCTGCTGTTGCTGCTGCTGTTGCTGCTGCTGCTGCTGCTGCTGCAGTTGCTGCCCCGCTCATCATCTACGCTGGGGGCTTTGGGTTTGTCTTCTGGCAGTTTGCTGTTTGTGGAGACA